TTGGATACTAAAAGATGAAGTTACAAATATTAACAAGATGTTAGATGAACATAAGAAATCTTGAAGCAATATGGTTGTTCAATTATGTCCGATAGTTGGGCAGATGGAAAAAGTAGATGTTTTATCAACTTTCTAATTAATAGTCCCGCGGGTACTTTTTTTTGAGATCTATTGATGCATCAGACTCTATAAAAAGTGGTGAAATGCTTGCGTTGCATTTAAATAAGATCATAGATGAAGTTGGAGAAGAGAATGTTGTGCAGATAGTAACTGATAATGGTTTTAATTTTATTAATGCTGGAAAAAGAATAATGAAAACTAGGCCTCATATTTATTGGACTCCATGTGCAGCGCATTGGATTGACCTGTTAGGAAAATTAAAAATGCATCAAGACACACTTACAAAAGCAAAAGAAGTGGTGAGATTTATTTATGGACATACATGGGTGTTAGATTTAATGAGATCATTTACAAATAATCATGAACTTCTTCGTCCTGCTGTTACTTGCTTTGCTACAACATATCTCACACTTCAAAGCATTCAAAAGCAAAAACAAGCTCTTAGATCTATATTTTCTTCTGAAGCTTGGAATAAATCTGCTTGGGCTAAGAAACACGAGGGGGTGAAAGCGAGAGCCATAGTTCTGTTTGATCAAAAATTTTGGCCATATATTGCTTATTGTGTGAAAAGTGTTGCCCATTTAGTGAGTGTTTTGAGAGAAGTAGATTCAGAGGAAAAACCATGCATGGGATATTTGTATGATTTGATACATAGGGATAAGGAAAAAATAGCCTTGAATTGTGGATATACTGAAAACATATATGCTCCCATTTGGAAAAGAATTGATGATAGATGGACTCGCCAACTGTGTCGTCCACTTCATGTTGCAGGGTACTATTTGAATCCGCAATTGCGATTTGAGGAAAGATTTTCTATTAACTTTGAGGTCAAACAAAGTTTGTACCAATGTATGGAAAGAATGTTGGATTATGAAGAGGGATTTAAAGTGGATGTTCAGTTAGATTCATATGACCAATTGAAAGGGGATTTTGGATGTCAGATAGGTATGGATTCTAGGAAAGTGAGATCTCCTATGGATTGGTGGATATGCTTTGGCGGGAAGATTCCAGAGTTGACTAAATTTGCAATTCGTGTCTTGAGTCTCACTTGCAGCTCCTCGGGTTGTGAACGAAATTGGAGCACCTTCGAGTCGGTAAGCGTTTATACTTTTACATAAATTTTCTTATTGTTAGTTTGTTTATGATAGCTTAACTTAATGTAAGTTTTCTGATTTTTGCTAGATGATCGCTGCCGACTCGACACTACACTATGGTAGGAAGAGCGGATCGCAATAGCTTTTACCCGAATAGAGGTCCGGGGTCGAATTTTCACAGGGAGCTAGTAGTGGAGTTGTATTTTCTGTCTAGCCTAGAGTTGCGGTTGTGCTTCTAATGTCACTTCAAGCATCTTTTGAGTTTTTGTATTTATAACTACTATTATAAAACTATGGATTAAAGCTAGATTATGCTAGGAGAATATTGCTAAGTTATAATTAATGGGAAGGAAGAGCACTAGGGTCACCTTGGTGGCTAATTGACGGGTAGATATTACTTAGGTTCGATTGACTTATTTGGGGCTTATGCTATAACCGTTGCACAATTTTACCCACTCTCACACCTCTCGGTAGAGAGAGTGATTTTGCCCAACTGACTCTCTCGAGACCAATTGGGTTGGCAAATTAGACCAAGCAACTAGGGTTCAAGTAGGGTGATTACTCTCTCGAGATTTAACCTGTTAATTGGGACTATCATTTCTCATGAGTCCATCCCAATTCCTTGTTGTGTCAATTTTGAGGTCATAGACTCACTTTCTCAAGAAGAGATAAACCCACAAAGCTTGAATCAGTGTTTGCAACCACCAATTCTAAATTAAATCATAAAATCAACCCAAATAACAAACACTCATAGTCAATCTAATCCTAGATGGCAACACCCATCAATTACCCACACTAGGGTTGAGCCACAACCCTAGCTAATGGATTTATCTACACATAATTAAAGAAGAAATTGAAGAAATAGATGAAGAACTGCACATATTAATTAATTACTAAGAAGAAAATACAATAATCTATTGTTAATGGGAAGAAAATATGCCAAAAATGGCTACAACACCAAGCGCAACTGTTCTTCTATTCTCATATCTGACCGCTCCCTTAAAAAAATAGTAAAATGTTCTATTTATACTAGGCTGGAAAAACTGGACAAAAATACCCCTGTAGGGTCAGTGCGAGCCGCACAAAATGGACCACGGCCGCACTGGCTCTTGGGCTTCAGTTGTTTGATGACTTGAACTGGGGGATGCGGACCGCGTGGGAGTGTACCACAGCCACGAAGGCAACTGGCGCGGTCTGCGCAGACGTGACCGCCGACCGCGTGAGGACAAATGCCCTTTGCTGAATCCTATGAACGCAGACCGCACAGAGCAGGAGTGCGGCCGCGCAACTTCTTTGCGGGCCGCGTGAATCCTACCGCGGCCGTGTGACCTTAAGCTTGAAAATGTCCAGTCTCTGAACCT